CAGACAGACAGAGACATAGAGACAGAAAGCGAGAAATCACGCCCCAGAGGGGATGGTCACGCCGCAATCCCTTCTCCTCCATTCTCCTCTCGGGATCTTGGGCACGCATGTACATGCGCCCAGCATGAGTTTTAAGCCACCCGGTCCAGGACACGAACCGCGGTCGACTACGTGGGAGTCCAGCGACATAGCCATTACGCTAACTGCTGGTTCCCAAAATTTTTTTTGAGAGGTTTTTTTTTGCTATAGGGTGGTTGTGAAGAAGGTGAGAAATCACCCCCCAGGGAGGATGGCCACGTCCCAATCCCTTCTCCTCCATTCTCCTCTCGAGATCTTGGGCACACATGCACATGCACCCGGCGTGAGTTTAAGCCACCAGGTCCGGGACTTGAACCACGGTCGACTATGTGGGAGTCCAGCAACATAGCCATTACACCAACTGCTGGTCCCAAGACCCAGAGTTTTGAAAATCAAGCTAGGCATGTGTCTGTGTACCCAAAATCCTAAGGAGAATGGAAGAGAAGGGACTGCAGTGTGGCCATTCCTCCTGGGGAGTGACTTTTCACTTTCCCTCTGTCTCTGGCAGCTCACATACCCTAAAGCAAAAAAAAAAAAAAAAAAACAGGTCAGATAGTGGCACAGAAGTAATGCAACGGGACCCTCCATGGACAGGGCCTGTGTTTGTGTCCTGGGACCTCTCAAAGCTTACTGGACAAGCACATGACTGCCATGATCAAGGCTGACCGAGACCGGGAGTAGACAGCTTCATGAAGACCCTGTTAAAGGTGCTTGTCTCTCTCTCCAACAAAACAGATAAATGAATAAACGTCTTTAAAAAGGGTGCTGGGGGGCCAGCAGGTGGCAAAGTGGTTAGGGCACTGGACTCCCACATGACTGACTGTAGTGTGAGTCCCAGACCTGGCAGTGTGCTTTCTCACTTTCCCTCTCTGCCTCTCTCTAGTCAAATTAAGAAAAAATACTAATAGGGACCAGCAGTTAGTGTAATGGCTATGTTGCTGGACTCCCATGTAGTCGACCACGGTTGGCATCCTGGACCCGGTGGCTTAAATTCATGCCGGGCACATGTGTGTGCGTGCCCAAGATCCCAAGAGGAGAATGGAGGAGAAGGGATTGCAGTGTGGCCATCCCCCCTGGAGGGTGATTTCTCACTTTCTGCCTTTATATCTCTCTCTTTCTTTCTGGTGAGTGCACGCGCCCTATAGCAGAAATCTCTCCAAAAAAAAAAAAAAAAAAAAAAGGAAAAATACTAATGGTAAATGAAATTAAATAAATAATTCTTAAAACACACAGACACAGGAAAAAAAGGGTCTTAGGCCAGTGAGTGGCATGGAGGTTAAAATGCTGGATCCCCACACCTTGAAAATAATGCCAGGTACTACACACACAAGCCCAGGATCTCTCGAAGAGAATGGAGAAGAGATTGCGGTACGGCCAGCCCCCACAGGGAGTGATTTCTCACCTCTTTCTCTACTGCGGTACGGCCAGCTCCCACAGGGAGTGATTTCTCACCTCTTTCTCTTTGGTAAATGCATGAGCCCTATAACAAAATGCAACTAAAGAAATGAAAACTCTCGGGATGGGACGTCAGCTCAGGGTACACTACACGAGTGAGGCACCTCGAGAGCTGGTTCCTCAGCATCGTGTCTTTGTGGGATTCTAAACCTGGGTTCTGTGAGTGGCCCTCAGGAGATCTTCGCACTCCCTGAAAACACTATCTCTGAGTTGACAGTTTGAGGGTTTTTTGTTTTGTTTTTGTCAGAATTACTTATTTTTATTTATTACTGTTACTTTTTAAAATTTGCCATAGGGCATGTATCTCAACAGAGAGAGAACCACCAGATTTAGGATTTGAACCGTGGTGGACTATGTGGGAGTCCAGAGCTTTAACTACCACTCCACCTACAAGTCCCGAGAATATGAGGTTTTTAAAAGACTTTGAAAGAGGACTTTAACACAAGAAATGGTACATGAAGTCTAAGAACTGACAGATGAGGCTCGGCCACAGTGGCACGGCGGTGGTGTACAATACTGGAGCCTTGTGGGAAGCCCAGGTTCGGATTTGGCTTGGCAGGCTCCCATCAAGGGTACCAAGGGTACAGTCTGTCTTTCTCTTTCTCTCCTTTCTTCCTCCCACCACCCCAGGAAAGAAAGGATTACATAAATTTAAAATTTTAAATAAAAGCAAGAAATGACTTGAGTGAATAAAGGGATTCTCTTCTTTTTTAACCTCAATTCTTTTCCTTTACTTTCATATGTACCTCCATGCATATTTACAATAACGCAGGATATAGATAAAAAATCCATATCAGAGAAAGACATGGCAAAGTACATACTATTAGCACACACAAATAACCTGATAGCATCAATTACTTGATGGAATTGGCTTTGTCTCACTGGGCCAGAGGGTTGCCATGTGCTGTTACTTTGTTTCATCAGTGGCAGATTGGTTCATAGGTCCAGAAATAACCACTTCAAATCCAAGTATTGTGCAAAAGGGTAAAAATTAACAGGTCCCTTACACTGCCACCAACCTTAACACTTACCTAGTTTCATTGCCTTTTAAAAGAATGTGGGCCTGGGGCCTAAGGAGAGCAAGGAGGTTAAGGCAGCTGGATCCCATATGGCTGAAAGCACAGTTTAAATCCTAGACCTGGTGGCTTGCTTTCCCACTGTCTCTGTCTCTTTCTGGTGAATGCATGTGCACTATAGCAAATTTTTAAAAATAAATAACCTTTTTAAAAAAAGAAAAAGAAAAAAATAAAATGCCGGGCACATGTGTGTGTGTGTATGTATGCCCTAAATCCCAACAGGTTAGGAAAATGGAGAAGGGACTCTGGCATGAACACACCCCATTAGGAGGTGTTTTTCCCTCTCTGTCTCTCTCTGCTGACAATATATACTCTCTAGCAATTAAAAATAAATAAATAAGTAGAGAGACTAGCAGATGGCATAACGTTATGTTGCTGGACTCCCATATGGCTGACCATGATTCAAGTCTTGGACCCAAAGACTTGGAACTCACACCAGGTGTATATGTGTGTGTGCCCAAAATCCTGAGAGGATAATGGAAAGAGGACTGAGGCGTGGCCATCACCCCTGAGAGGTGAGTTTTGTTTTCCGTTCCTCTGTCTCTCTGGGGAAAGCACATGCCCTATAGCGAAAATCTCTCTCAATAAATAAATGAATGAATGAGTAAGTAACAAAGTTCAAAGGAACTACAAGAGAAGGTTCTGTCCTTATCTCAGAATGAAGATCCAACAGTAACAACTATTTTTCTTTTTTTTTTATTTAGGTTTTTGCCATAGGGTGCATGCACTAGCCAGAAAAAGAGACCGAGAGAGAGAGAGCGAGCGAGTGCGAAATCACCCCCCAGGTGGGATGGCCTCACCACAATCCCCTCGCCTCCATTCTCCTCTTGGGATTTTGGGCATGCACACACATGTGCCTGGCATGATTTTCAAGCTGCTTGATTGGGTCTAGGACTCGAACCACAGTCAGCTTGAACCACAGTCAGCCATGTGAGAGTCCAGTGCCTTAACCACATTGCCACTTGCTGGCCCCTTTTCTTTTTAGATTTTTTGCCATAGGGCATTTCTTTATAGATTTTTTGCCATAGGGCACATGTGCCAGCTGGGGAGACAGAGAGAAAGAGGGAACGTGAGACATCATGCCCCAGGAATCCCTTCTCCTTGCAGGATTTTGGGCACATTTGTGCAAGTGCCTGGCATGTCTTTTAAGCTGCCAGGTCTGAACTTGAACTGCAGTTGGCCATGTGCATCCCAGTGCCTTAGCCATCATACCACCTACTAGCTCAACAACTTTTTTTAAATGTAATGGGCTGGTTGTGAGGTAGTTAAGCTTCTCATATCCAGAAGTGATCAAGAAAAAGATAGCTGTCAGGGATTTTTGTCAGGAATTTTATAAAGGGGATTCCTGCACCTTTGCCAACTGAGATCCTATGTCTAGATTTCCTGGTCTCATATAACAATAATAACAATTTAATACTTACCAGATTCTTTTCAATATCTTGATCCGTGTTTACCTCTGAATCAGCAGTCTTAAAGTCAGTCTATAAAGGAAGAAACAATTATACTCAGAGTTGTTCAGAGATACTTTATAAGAGCTAAAATAAGTCTAGTCCTTTTATCTAGAAAGAGCTAAAATAAGTCTAGTCCTTTTATCTAGTGCTACAATAACTATGAACAAATATAATGCTCTCTCCCCTTCCAGCTTCATAGCAGGAGAAGCGATGCAGTGCTGGTGAACGCACACCAATATCCACACTGCAGTAACCGCTGATCCCGCAAAGCGACCTCAACAAGCCCCAACCACTGACTAAGAAAAAGCCTCAAGTCTGAGATACGAATTTGCCCCCCACACCCTACAGTGTCCATGCTTCCTTCTACAACAAAGCACTCTGGTCACTAGGAAGCAGGATACACTGCACTTCTTAAGATGTAGGTCAGAGAATTAACAAGGATCCTCCTGCAAGGACAAAGATAGGAGGTGAACATGCTAATGACCTGCACTCCTCCATTACTC